CTCACCTACATAGAATAACTCAGGGTGGAGAAGCGGTCGATGGAGTAAAAAAACACAACTACCAACATGAACACACACCCACCCCACATACTCAGGTGTGGCAGCACCTGCTGTATAACATGTACAGTGCAGAGCCACACACTGAGGGTGCTAGAGGCTATTTTAGGTTCTCACTCTTTGAGAGGCAAGACTCAACTTCACAGCTTCTTTAAAAAATACTCCTCAGAAAAGTTGAAAAGAACAAGCAAACAGGAAAATGTTTTATTTTTGCACATTAGGGAATTTTATAACCCAATAGATTTATAAAGTCATAAGAGAAAACAAGACTGTGCTACTCATTAGAACTACATAAAATCCACATATATGAACTAGCAGTTGAAGATAATATGGAATAAAATGACTTTAATATCCATCAGGTAACTTTTTTTTTTTTTTTTTTTTTTTTTTGACAGGCAGAGTGGACAGTGAGAGAGAGAAAGAGACAGAGAGAAAGGTCTTCCTTTGCCGTTGGTTCACCCTCCAATGGCCGCCGCGGCTGGCGCGCTGTGGCAGGTGCACCGCGCTGATCCGATGGCAGGAGCCAGGAGCCAGGTGCTTTTCCTGGTCTCCTATGGGGTGCAGGGCCCAAGCACTTGGGCCATCCTCCACTGCACTCCCTGGCCACAGCAGAGGGCTGGCCTGGAAGAGGGGCAACTGGGACAGAATCCGGCGCTCTGACCGGGACTAGAACCCGGTGTGCCGGCGCCACAAGGCGGAGGATTAGCCTAGTGAGCCGCGGCGCCGGCCTCCATCAGGTAACTCTTAATAAACTAGTTTTATATGTTTATAAAAAATAAAAATTTAAGCCAAAAACATTTATTATTCTCAGAGGGCAAGGAAGATACTGTGGAATGGTAAGAGTTTGCTTCCAAATGATGACTGACATCAGTCTGATGACCTGATACAACCACTTCAAGCAACTTCATTTTCCTGGCCAGGCTTTTATCAGCATAAGAGAAAAGGTAAGAAAAGAATGCTAAATGGGAATACCTACTTTGGTCTGGTAAAAACAGACTTGTTTTAATGCATAACATTATCTAAATAGGGAAAAATATTAATATGCTGCATAGTTATATTCAGATCTCTTTAAGGTTTATAATTAGAAGTTCCCTAACTTATGTTAGGGGTGGAAATTACAAAGACCACACTGGCCTTATCATCACTTTAATGCAAGGTAAACTGTCTCATCTTGGCACTTCATGCTTAGGACAGTAAAAGAATAAAAATGAGACATTCCTTACAGTACAAAGCAGATACTGCCAATTGTAACAGGAATGAGAAAACATAATGTGGGTTAAAAGAAATGCAACATCATGTATGGTGGGTGTGAAGAAGAGAATCAAGGCAGACGATGGTTTCAGTAAGTTTTAGAGACATTATATTCTAGAACTTCTGGAAATTATGTCATCAAGTTTTATACCACATAAGTTTTTAATAAAAACCCAGCTCCACCTATAGAATTGGATTTTTCAAGGCGTATAAAAGTTAGATGTCTTTTACCTTCAAAGATGACCACTGAAACACATCTGAACAGATGAGTATATTTGAGATGAGAGAACGCCCGGCAAGGGATAGAGCAAGCAACAAGAGATAGGACAGGCAACAGGAGGTCACCCATGTGGAGTCTCCCAGCTGTTCTTCCCACTGGGTTATAAAGGTCTCACTCAACACTGCTGCACAGGGGATTCAGCTTCCAACAAATGAACTTTAGGGAACACATTCAAACGACACCATATGCCCATACTACTGCCATGACCAGATTATCACATCTCCATATCCCTCCCTGTGAACTTGTAACCTATTCGCCAACAACCTGATCCATGGACCCCGGGGTGAGAGGGACGGTAAAGGCAAAACGAAAGGATCCACTTTTTTCCTGCCTTACTGGTTTCCCCAACGATAGCTCAGTAGTGGACCTTCGCTCTTGCAGGGGCCTCTGTCCCAATCTCTAGCACTTCCACGACCACCCCCAGGCACCCCCAGGCACCACTTAGGCAGGCTCTCCTGCACCCTGACAGACTTTGAAACCCAACCCTGTGGGTGTCACCCTCTGAATTCCTGAGGGAGTACCACCAGCAGTCAGAGCCCAGCTTTACAATGCTCCAGGGTTTCCGTGGTAACAGCCCCCCACATCTCCCCTTGTTCTGACCCCTAGCCCTAGTTAGGTACTGCAGCCCCTTCTTCCAGGTCTATTGGTCTGTTCCTTCACTGCTCCTTTTCAGTTTTTGTTCCTCCAGCAGCTATTTAAGCAACTTTTTTTTTTTTTTTTTTTTGACAGGCAGAGTGGACAGTGAGAGAGAGAAAGGTCTTCTTTGCCGCCGTTGGCTCACCCTCCAATGGCCGCCGCGGCCGGAGCGCTACGGCCAGCGCACCGCACTGATCCGAAGCCAGGAGCCAGGTGCTTCTCCTGGTCTCCCATGTGGGTGCAGGGCCCAAGCACTTGGACCATCGTCCACTGCACTCCCGGGCCACAGCAGAGCGCTGGACTGGAAGAGGAGCAACCGGGACAGAATCCAGCTCCCCGACCGGGACTAGAACCCAGGGTGCCGGCATCGCAGGCAGAGGATTAGCCTAGTGAGCCGTGGCGCCGGCCTTAAGCAACTCTTACATTAAATTCTCTCCACTGAAAATCTGTGCGGTTTCTACTTTTCTGGCAGGGCCCTGCCTAACACAAACAAGCTGCATTCTCAAATCAGAGCTTTCAAAGCCACTGAGCTTGCAAAGGTGAGCTCATTCATCTCCCTCCCACCCGAAAGTTAACTACTCTTAATTCTCACACTCACCACTCTTACTCCATTACACTCTCAAGGGAAAGACATGCCCAGCCCTTTCCAGGCTAGGACAGAAATATCCTCAATAGTCCCCCAGGACCCAGCCATATTAATACTCTTACCTTAACATCAGTAATGTTCAACTCCCCTGCCTCCACTGACTCAATTTTCTTGGTACTTAAGTGTGCCCAAAATCCGTCCACACTGTTGGTCACTCCTGGGAATCTCTCCTACTGTTCTGACAACTCCATTTTCTTCCCTTGCCCCTCACCTATCCCCCTTTTGGCTAACTTGGTGCTCATGACTACAGCCCCAGGCAGATCACCGATATGCTGATAAGGTATTATGAAATACTCAGCCCTGCTGAAGAAGCCCTACTGTACACTAAGTCCACATTTTCAACCTTCTGATGTTATCACAAGCATGTCTCACAAGCACATCAAATGCAACCTGGGAAAGGAAGCATTAACTACTCTTCCACCAAATGTCAGTTTGCTCTGTTTGGGGACACGGCACTGCCACTCTCTCCGTTTTTAAACAGAAAGCTGTCTTTGCCCTTCTGCCCACCCTTTCACAGTTTACAGTTGACTGGTCCCATCAGTGGCTGTCAAAGTGCAGCACCTTATCCCGCGACCCGGTTTGTGACCTCCACCAAACAACGACTGAACGAAGTGCTAGGCGATTACTCAGTCACTGCTTCCACGGAGACCACGGCTGAACGGGACAGCAAGCCACATAAAATACCCAATTTAAGTTGAAGAAGCACCGGGACTTCACGTCCACGGAAAAGTCGCATTCGCGAGAAGGGACCCGCAGCATAGCACCCCCACCTCTACGAATCATGGCTTTCCAGCCTGGGTTAATGCGTTCGCGGCGGGGTCATTAGCTCCCCGCTGCAAGGATCCAGAGGCTGGACTGTCATCTCTCGGCGGTAGCTCCCTGACGCGCCCCTGGACGGCCAAGGATGGCGCGTCCGCAGTCAGAAGCTGAGGATCGAGGAAAGGGGTCGCCCACGCCTCACTCTACTCCTGGGTCTGCAGCAGACACAGGACCCTCGGTGTCCCTTTCACTAGGACATGCCTGGGCGCGCAGGGCCCAATCCTGGCCTCCTGCTCAGGCAGGGGTCGCTGGAACGCTCACCTGCGCCGCGCCGAGAACCCTCGCCTACGCGGCAGGGTTGCGGCTGGCCCCCGAAGCCTCTGTCTGCAGCTTCCGAGCTCTCAGGGAGCGCGCTAGGCTGGAGGGGCTACAGCCACTGGACACCCAAAGGTGGAGCGCGAAGCGCCGCTCAGGTGCTAAGCGTGCGACAGACCCACGGGCTGGGCTGGCCGGACACGCGCTAAGCGGCGCGGGAGTGACGTCACACGACGGGGCGTGGCCAAGTAGAGGGTGGCTTCCCAGGCCATTCGGCCTGGTGGACTCTGTTACCCCGGAGAAGTAGAAATACAGGGGCTGCGCTAGCACCCGTCCTATATCTCCCCCTATTGTATTATGATTACTGCCCACCCTACTGGATTTGATTCCTGCTTTGACATCAGATCCCTAAGCTCTGTCGTGGGGGTAGGGGGCGGAGACTGTTGGCTGGGGGGTAGTGCGCGTGCGCTGGACGTGGCCGCCCACCGGAAGGACACCCCCCAAGGCTGGCCCGGCGGGAGGAAGCGCTCGCATCCCGGAGGGCGGGGCAGCGGCCCCGGGGGTCGCCATGGCTACCGAGCTGCCGGCCGGCGAGCCGGCCGTGCCTTCGCTGGTGGATCGTTATTTCACTCGCTGGTACAAAACGGGTGAGTGCTCGGCCGCGGAGGCCTGATGCTGTGGGGACGGCAGTGACGGATGAGGATGCGCGCGCGCTCTCGCGCTTCCTCCCGCGTCGGAGGAGCTGGCCCTCGGAATTACCCTCTAGATCGAGGGATGGCATTTGGGAGGACTCGCAGGCGTGGAACACCCGTGGAGCGGGGCGCCTCCCGGGGCTTCCAGGGCAGCGCGGGCTCCGGCGTGGGTTGCTCGCGGGAATTCTAAAGTAAAGCGAGGTCCTCGAGGTCGGCGGCGGCCAGAAGTTGTATACAGTGCGTGCCTGCCGGTTGGGACGAAAGCGCCATCCTACCGGGAGTAGCGATGCATGAAATTATTCAGAGGATCAGCTCTGCGGTCGGGTAGAGGCGGCAGCGACGGCGGGAGGAGGGTGTTATGATAGACTCACTGGAGAGCAGAATCTGCGGTTTTCTCTCAATGAGAAGCTGCCGCACTGACCATTTGTCACTTAGAAGTGTGTCTTTCTGTGGTACCGTTTTGTGTACACAGTAACCCCAGTGGCAGAAGCTTCATGGGGATTCTCTGACCCCTGCTTTCTTCGGAGATCATAAGAGTGTGCTTTAAAAAAAAATACTGTAGCAAACGAAGATACTTCCAAAAAGTTCAAGAAAATGGATTAAAACAAATTTTGCTGCAAAAAGATTTTTGCAGTCCATAATATGAGGAATCAACAAATTCTTGGAAAATGCACATTCTGAGGGGAAAAAAAAACTATGTATGGACTTCAAAAGATTTTTGCACCAAAACAAACTGATTTTTGAATTTCATTTTTTTCTATGGACATTTTTTAAGTCCTTTGTATTTCCTGTTAGCTAAACTTAAGTGACCAACCCTCCTGGTTTGCCCAGTACTGAGGGATTTATCCAAATGCAGGACTTCCCAAGCTAACATCAGCCCTGGAAACCACCCACAAAAATACACTACTGTGAAAGAAAGAAAGCAATGCCAATTGCATTTTTCTAGTAGAAATAATGGATGTACTTAATGTGAGGACAAAGCAAGATAGAGCAAGGAACTTAAACATGGAATAAATGATTCTGTCCAGGCCAAGTCCCTGTAAGTACTTTTTGGAAGCTTTTAGGTCTATCTTTTTGAGTAATGAAAGGATACCAATTATCAGTATGTGTGCAGTCTTCACAATTACTATTTATATAAACCCAATAAAGTACTAAATAGCAGGAATACATACTCATTCCATAACCAATAAAATTTTTTTCTTCCAGATGTCAAAGGAAAACCTTGTGAGGACCATTGTATACTACAGCACTCTAACCGGTAAGCAATTTGGGAATTTTAATTTACTAAAAAGCCCCTCCCCTCCAATTTTAGCCTGGTATGGTCTTGAACAATGTCCATCATTTTCCACTGTGTTGAAATGGTGTTAGAAGAGTTGGTTGGCAGAGATGAATCTTCCAAGGCCTACTCACTCTGAAAAAATAAACTTGATTCTCCAAATGTCCAAACTGAGGACCTCACCCTCAGTCAGCTGCTACCTGAAGTGGCCAGCCTGTGCCTCAGCACCAAACTGCCAGGACCCAAGGTGTTGCTACCACAGAGGCCTCTGCGGTACCCTGTCCACACAGGCGTGCCTTGCTTCTCTCCCTTCTACCCCAGTGCCACCTCAACACCTCTGGTATGCTTCTTTCCTGGGAAGGAAAGTCAATCTTATTTTCTCTTTATTGCATTCCCCATTCTACAGTGATGCCCCAGTAATAGCCAAAGAAAAAAAGGAGGTGTTTGGTAGCTTGACTAAACAGATGTGGTTAAGTCCTCTTGTGCCAGCAGGAATACTGTGATGTAAGAGGAAGAACTACAGCAAGCAGTAACTCCAGATCAATCTGTTCTCCTTCTAGAATATGTGTCATCACATTGGCAGGATCTCATCCGGTCCTTCAAAGTGGAAAAACGATTAAGAGCATTTCCTATCAGATAAGTACCAACTGTAGCAGACTCCAGAACAAGGTCTCTGGGAAATTTAAGCGGGTATGTTGCTGTAATTCTGTGATTATCTACTTAATTCCTCTGCATGCACGGTAGTGACACATCCAGTCAGCCTTAGAATCTGGTAACACAAGCTCAGCATGCTTCTCTGGCACTTTGATTCGCTGGTTTTATGTATCCTTGAACCCTAAAGAGATTCTCAGACCAGAAAGATTGGATATTTCAGGAGTTACATCTGTCATATTAGGTTGTGGGCCACTCTCTCGCTTATCTCCAGGATGGAGGAGGGGGAATGCGGGCCTTTTAACAGACACCTCTAACATCAACAAGGTATTTTGTCCCTTCTAGTTTATTAAACCAGTGTCTTGAGCTCTATAAAATTTAGGTGACCATGTCTTCTTTACCATATTTTTCACATGTAAATTAAAAGGAAAAAATCTGGACAGAGTAGGAAAATATGTCAACCTGAGAAAACATACAGTATTTGCATTGCCAGTCTAATACACAGTTACCCACACCACCTTCTACCTCCTCACAGTCCTCAGTTATGAAACATGGTATCTCCACAGGTCCAGGCAAGATGACATTTTATTGAAAGAGGGTTTCACACCACAGACAATTTTAAGAGCATATTAGTGATGCCAGCATCCCAAGTGGCAGCTTATCCCAGCTACCACAATGCTGGCCCAGATATACTGGCAGCACTGTGGGCTGCTTCTCTAGGGAAGCTGGAGAAATGTCCATCAATTCCTCACTTCTTCCCTTCCATCACACAGGGGGCGCAGTTTCTAACAGAATTCGCACCTCTGTGTAAGATTTACTGCTCAGATGGAGAAGAATATACCATATCTAGGTGAGTAACTTTTTCACCATCATTTAGGAGAGACAAAGCAGATAATATTTTTCATACAAATAATTCTGTTTTTAATAGCTGTGTGAGGGGACGGTTGATGGAAGTGAATGAAAACATTCTCCATGAGCCATCTATTCTTCAAGAAAAGGTAAAAGAGGAAAAATATATGATCTCATCCCTGTATCTTTTAAGGGATTTTTAAACCGTTTTTGAATTTTTATTCATTAGTATATTTGAAAGGCAGAGAAAGAGAGATTTCCCATTCACTAGTTCACTCTCCAGATGCCTGAAGCCAGGAGCTGGAATTCAGTCTGGGTCTCCCATATGGATGGGAGCCATCACCCACTGAGCCATTACCCACTTCCTCAGAGGGCTAGAATTGAGAGCAGAGCTGGGACCTGAGCACAGCCCCTCCCCCCAAACAGCAGCTTAACTGCTGTGCCAAATACGCACCCCACCCCACCCCACCCCCCTGATATATTTGCCAGTACTAAATATTCTATTTCCTTTCCAGCCATCTACTGAAGGTTACATTGCAGTTGTGTTACCCAAATTTGAAGAAAGCAAAAGCATAACAGAAGGCTTACTGACACAAAAACAGTATGAAGAAGTTGTGCTGAAACGCGCTGATGCTACTACAGCTACATCATGAGGACTGCAATGGAGCCAGAGCAACATGGGATTCTTAGCCTTACCTGGCCTAAACCATCAGTGCCCTCAAGGAGACGCAGCATAATGTGTGAAGCACATTTCTCCCCCAGCCATCAGCAGAAGAGCCCTAAGCCTTCACTTAACCTAGTTTTCCCTCTGTCTTGCCTGATAAGCTTTGGCTCCCACTTGTCTTCACCCTCACCCTGTTCCCTTGCTTCCAAGTAAACAAGCAAGCAGGGGATGCATTTTGATTCATTCTTTCTCTCCCTCTCTCTCTCTCTCTCTCTCTCTCTCAAGCAGGGGATGCATTTTGATTCATTCTTTCTCTCCCTCCCTCTCCGTCTCTCTCTCTCTCTCTCTCTCTCTCTCTCTCTCTCTCACACACACACACACACACACACACACACACACCCCTCTTTGGGTAAAATTTGGCAAACATGGAGAAATTTTAAGTAACTGATTTATTCATCCTCATCGTATTAAATGGAAGTAAATACTGTATTTTGACATACTTCTATTGTTTGAACATTATGGCATGGCTGTTGTTTTTACTTCAATTTTCTATCAGTTTGAAGTTTTTTCAAAAACCTAAATGACCTTTCTTCACCCTGCTTGAGTGTGACACAAAGTCTTGTCCTGCCTGTTTTTTTGTTTTTTTGTTTTGTTTTTTTTGTTTTTGTTTGTTTTTGTTTTTGTTTTGGCAGGCAGAGTGGACAGTGAGAGAGAGAGACAGAGAGAAAGGTCTTCCTTTTGCCATTGGTTCACCCTCCAATGGCGGCCGCGGCTGGCGCGCTGCAGCCAGCGCACCGCGCTGATCCGATGGCAGGAGCCAGGTACTTATCCTGGTCTCCCATGGGGTGCAGGGCCCAAGTACTTGGGCCATCCTCCACTGCACTCCCTGGCCACAGCAGAGAGCTGGCCCCCGCCTGTTTGTAAGTTACAGGAAGAGGCTGGAGTGTAGAGTGTACCTTTTGTCCTCCTCACACCTATTAACTAAATGAGGAACACATCTTTGAAAAATACCAAATTCTGCCTTAACAAATGGAAAATAAGGCAACTTAAGTTGGTTCTCATAGTGGATACATTGTAGTCAACCAAGGTCACTCTGGTGACTGGGTAACTAACAAGCTTCTGCCTTTGAACACAACAAAGACTTCTACATCCTTAAAAAGAAACAAACTAACTCAATTTATGGCTTAAAATTGGATACTGATTTACAATGAATTCCAAATAAAGGACATTAAGAAAACATGTCACTTTTTCCTTAGACTACATATATTTAAACAGCTGTGTTTTTTACAGTTTCTATCCTCTTACGCTGTTGAAGTCAAATATTACCCCCTCCCCACACCTACTGAAGTATGTAACTGCATCTTTTTTTTTTTTTTGGACAGACAGAGTTAGAGAGAGACAGAGAGGTCTTCCTTCCATTGATCCACCCCACAAATGGCTGTTATGGGTGGCGCGCTGCGCCAATCCAAAGCCAGGAGCCAGGTGCTTCCTCCTGGTCTCCCATGCGGGTGCAAGGCCCAAGCACTTGAGCCATCCTCCACTACATTCCCGGGCCACAGCAGAGAACTGGACCGGAAGAGGAGCAACCGGGACAGAACTGGTGCCCCATCCGGGACTAGAATCCGGGGTGCCGGCACTGCAGGTGGAGGATTAGCCTAGTGAGCCGTGGCGCCGGCCTGTAACAGCATCTTTTAATTTTTTTTTTTTTTTTTTTTTGACAGGCAGAGTGGACAGTGAGAGAGACAGAGAGAAAGGTCTTCCTTTGCCGTTGGTTCACCCTCCAATGGCCGCCACGGCTGGCGCGCTGTGGCCGGTGCACCACGCTGATCCGAAGGCAGGAGCCAGGTGCCCCTCCTGGTCTCCCATGGGGTGCAGGGCCCAAGCACTTGGGCCATCCTCCACTGCCTTCCCGGGCCACAGCAGAGAGCTGGCCTGGAAGAGGGGCAACTGGGACAGAATCCGGCGCCCTGACCGGGACTAGAACCCAGGGTGCCGGCGCCGCAAGGCGGAGGATTAGCCTAGTGAGCTGCGGCGCCGGCTAACAACATCTTTTAAATAAAATTTAAAATTAGTTTTAGTTCAAAGCAAAACGTCTTGTAACCCGGGGTGGTGAAATGTCATGTAAGGTCCCGGAAATCACTGGTCTGGCCCTGCCAAGACAACTGCAGGCAGGACTTGAAATTCAATGCGTCCTCAGCAGGCTGATTTTTGAGTGGCTAATTTTGTATGCTCCCCGAATGATGCTATAAATATCCACATGGCTCTTGGCAGAAAGAAGGTTCCCTACCCCTGCGAATGCCAGGACAGTTATCCCTAAAATATGCACATCGAATATGACAAGGTAGCAACACGTACAGTGATGGTGCTATGAAGTGAAAATGTGAGCACAAACGAGCACAGCAGTTGGCACAGTGAATGTTCAAGAGTACATGAGACAGACACAACTGACAGTAAAACAGTCTGCATCTACTTTACATATTCACACATAATTCCCCCAGGAAGTCTACTGTCATGTAAAAGAATATTTGTTTCAGAGAAAAAAGAAGACTTTCTGTTTAAACAATTATAAAGTCATTAACTAAGCTAAGTGTACCCCATTTTCTCCCAGGACTATAGTGAAAAGTGAAGGTTTTATTTGGGGTGGGCTTTGTGGTACAACAGTTTAAGCTGCCCCTTAGGGACCCTACATCCCATATCAGAGTGCCTGTTCAAATCCAGGCTGTTCTACTTCTGATCCAGCTTTCTGCTAACGTACATGGGAATCAGCAGATTATGGCTGCAGTACTTGAGTCTCTACCACCCAGGTGGGAGATCCAGATGAGCTTTTTTTTTGTTTTTGTTTTTGTTTTAAGATTTAATTATTTGAAAGGCAGACTTACAGAAAGAGAAGGGAGAGACAGAGTTCTCCATCTACTGGTTCACTCTCCAAACAGTCCCAACAGCAAGGGCTGAGCCAAACCAAAACCAGCAGCCAGGAGCAGCTTCTGGTCTCCCATGTGGGTTTGAGGGCCCAAGCATTTGGGCCATCCTCTGTTGCTTTCCTACGCACATTAACAGGGAACTGGATCAGAAGTGGAGCAGCTGGGACTCGAACAGGCACCCAAATGGGATGCCCGTAATGCAGGTAGGTGGTGGTTCAACCTGCTTCGCCACAGCACCTGTCCCCAAATAAATCTTTTTTTTAAGTTTTCTTCAGGGTACAGGGCTGTGGCATAGCGGGTAAAGCCGACACCTGCAGTGTCAGCATCCTATATGGGCACTGGTTCAAGTCCCAGCTGCTTCACTTCCGATCCAGCTCTCTGCTATGGCCTGGGAAAGCAGTAGATGGCCCAGATCCTTGGGCCCCTGCACCCACATGGGGGACTCGGAAGAAGCGAATGGAAGACCTCTCTCTCTCTCTGCCTCTTCTTCTCTCTGTGTAACTGACTTTCAAGTAAATACATCTTTAAAAAACAAAGTTTTCTTCAGTAAAATATCATTAGTCTTGTGGTTCTTCAAAATCCGTGAATCTTGATTGTGGTGGCTGACACAGAAAAATCATCAGACTCATCTATCTACTGCCACGTGGCAAGGACATGACCCATCAGATATCAAAATGAATTTCAAAGCAAGGGATGCAAACACTATGAAATGAGCTCAAAACAAAGTCAATCATAGTATAACATGCAGAGAAAACCTATCAGCCAGATCTTTCCATCAAAACTCACAGCACAAAAACAAGTTTTCAACACGAATTAAAATGACTAAATAAAGATGTTTGTTTATTTTGTAATGCACATTCCAGGGCCACATTATAAAATGTATAATTACTCAAAATCTAAACAGCTTCTTGGTTCCATCCTTCTGTCTTCTTTTCCATTATATCAATACTGAGAAGAATAGATCAAAACTATTTTTTAAGCCAGGAAAATAGGCTTAGTATTACAGCTAGTATTCAGGGCAGACTGGCTAGCTATGCTAGACCTAGGACCAGAAGACGGCTATCTGCTATTCCCCAGGAATTGCTCCCTCCAGGATTCCGTGGAGTGGGTTCCTGTACTCAGCTTTCAGGAGCTCAGAAGTACATGCAGTGCAGCAGTTAGCCCTTGCTCTGTGAAACATTTCTTAGAGAACAAACTCTGGCCAGTAGCATGATCTGCGATAGAGGGAGCATCAGAGGGGATTTTGTCACACTTGGTGGACACAGGGACTGAAGAAGAGTCCATTTGTTATAGCAAAACCCTGTGTTCACCCAAACTGCTGTATATTTTCTGCTGAAATTAGTGTTCTAGATGATAGGCTTAAATAAGAAAACAGTTAAAGTAAAGTATGCCAAAGGCGAGTGCATATTCAAAATAGCTTCTTTGGATGGAGTTGTCATTAAGACATCTGGGATATTTGGTTTGACTTTTACAGTTTTAATGCAATGTTACATTTTAAAATCACACTGCAATTAAAATTCTTACTGCTATTAGGGCAATTATTAGTCGTCAAAAGCTTCACAACCAGTTTCATGATCAGAAAATAAAGCAGGATTTCAGTATTGTTTTCTTTATAAATGTGTTGAATTTCTTAAAGTATAATTTGCTTTTTAAAAATGTCGGCTTTGCCAGAGATGTTGCAAAAACTGGACTCCAAAATCTTCTCAGGTTTTACCATCCACGGTGTCTTTATTTGTAACCGAGACCCATCTGACATTTTCTGTCTGAAGTTAGAAAGAGTTAAGACAATTAATTTCTGCTTTATTCTGAAAAAAAAAAAGCTGCAAAATTAGTAGTAATTACTAATTTTTTTTTGCAATTTCCTTTAACTTTTCAAATATGAGTTGAAGATAGAAAAACTGCCTTACCTTCTTCAGCAGTTTATAGCAAAGTGAAAGAAGTTGAACCAAGAGCGCCATCATGGATCTTGTCTTTGTAATACATTTGTCAACCTATAGTGACAGAAAGCGTGCAAATCGTATTCTACAAGTGGGAATTCACAAAACTTTATCATATAGTTGATGTGAAAATGGCATTTCTCCATTGTGGAACTACAAAGGGTCTGGAAGGTACAGAGATCACAGGAGCTGACTCAAGGCCCCAGAACACAAGTGCAGCGTTGTCACCCAGGTCTTACTCCTGTTTCCACCCAGGAAGAATGGGTGGAAAAGCAACTGTGCTCCTTCAGACTACTCAGGAGCTACTCAAAATGCTCCAAATAGTGACAGCAAATTCCCTGCTTTGGCATTCCTTGCACTCTGCTCTGTGGGCAAAAACCCACATATCCTTAGACAAATTCTGGGAGCCCAGCCTTGGAGGCACTCATGCCCAGGTCAGACAGGTGATGATGACAGGATTTAGCAGTAGCTGCCAGTGCTATGGAATTAATCCTGTCCAAAAAGCCAATTCATTCAGTGAATGTGTTGCTCTCTGGGGTCAGTTACAAAAGCAGATAATAAAAGATTCTTGCCATCAAATTGGGAAATATGTAAATAAATTGTGCCTCTGCAGGTATTAACACTTTCTTTGAAGAAAAAACAGCCTGGAGCAAATATGATAAAGACAGAAGTATGCAAGTTTCTCAAAGTCTACCTGAGTAACTCCCTCCCTCTGCTTTACCTTGAGAAGTACTTTATTCTGCAGAGATGTCTTGGTTATTGTCTGGAGCTGGTGGCATAGAGGGATTAGCTTGTTTATTTCCAGGAGAAGCGTAAGTTTGTCATCATCTTTCAGCTGAAATGTAATTTAGGAAGTTATAACACCCCCAACGAAATACCTTAAATATCTTGATACCTTAATACTATGCCAGTGGGTATCTAGGATACTATAACCAGCACCAGGCAGAGAGACAAGAGTTACCTGTTTTGAAAAACCTTGGATACTTGAAGTAAACTTTAAACCCTCCGCAGCAAAAACCTGGTGGGAAGGGAAAACATTACTGTTTTAAATGATACCCACAAGTAGTTGATAAGAAATATACTTACTAATGAAACCTACACATACTCATCATAAAAATCACCAACTATAAAAAGGTGGTGACAATTCACTATGCATCCTGAGAAGAGGATGATGGAGAAGAACTTGTGCAGGTAAGATAGGGATCTTTAGAATATTATGTTAAAATGGTATGTAGAGGGGTAGGCATTGTGGTGCAGTGGGTTAAGTCACCACTTCCAATACCAGCATGCCATATGAGTGCTGAGTTGAGTCCTAGCTGCTCTACTTCCAATGTAGCTCCCTACTAATGTGCCTGGGAAAGCAGCGGAACAAGGTCCAATT